ACTACCCAGCTATTACTTGGACACAAGAGAAGTTTGGAGGAACACAAGACATTCTAGAATCTCTTCAATTAATTTTATTTTTACAAAATAGAAAGGGCTCAACATTGAACATTGACATGCCTCAGGGAAGGATAAAGCAAGTCATCAGGGAAGGGTACAGCATGAAGGTCACAGAGAGCTTCCATACACTCTTGGCTTCTAAGAACAGAATACTTTTGGGTTTTAGCATTAAAAGGCATAAGAAAACTGAAATTGAGTAAAATGCAATAAATAGAGTTTTGACATAAGAGCTCTCTCTTCCCTCGGTCCCACTGAGTCTCTTTGAAACATTTTAAAATTTATATACTCTCATGTTCACAAGGCTGGGCTGTGCACATGCAAAGTCATACCTGACCTTGAAATATATGACAGTATGTGTAATTAGGCTTTTAGGGAATACTGATATAAAAACTTTGTTGATAGTAGGACTCTAATGTTCCATACCTTTTCGAAAAATCATGTTTAAATATATCGTTTGTAACTTCACTAGAAACATAAAATTTTCCTTTGACTCTAGACACTTCCTTTAGTCTGACTACCCTTTGCATATATGCCAAGAAACCATTGTCATTAGAACCATTTATATATCAAAATCTAATTTACCCATCAGTAAAATTAGTACATTTATATGTAAGGAAATTATTTTCAAAGAGAACTTCAAAATACAAGCTGAAGCTTGTCATTCAGGTAATATTTTTAAAGAAGGAAATGTTCTTATGCAACATGACTAAAATACCTCGGGGAACTCTGAAGTCATTTTTTCATTAAATAGAGCTGAAATTATGTGAACAAGTAGAACATGGGAAAGAAAGAGACAAACAAAGTATAGAGCACTAGGGAATGAGAAAATAGAAAATAGACTCTGAAAGGAACAGTGCATTCTTCAAGGTTACCTACCAAGTGCATTAGGGAAAGGGAGGCAGAGAGTCTATATCAAGAGCCAAAGATATCCACAGTAATGACTGCACACTAAAACTGCAATTTTCAATAAACATCTCATTCAGATAGTTATTCTATCTGGAAAAAGATATTCATATTTTTCAGTTTCTCTCAGAGTTTAGCCAAGTGTTGCTGTATAAATCAGTATCTTTTTAAAAAAAAAATCACACACATTTTTACTAATGAGAAGTTAAACAACCATGATTTCATTTTCATATGTAAAACCTGATTTAATTTCCTTAACATTCTCTGAGGTCAGTATTATAATTTATGCCTTATGGATTCATACAGCTCCAGAAAGATTAAGTGGGTTGCTTAGGAACACACTACCATGTAAATTGGAATGTTTTTTATCATTCTGAGCTGTTTGGCATCCCTCTCCATAGACTGTACAATTAAAAGACTCAAAAGAAGGTTTTTACTTAGTGAAAAAATATGATTAATCAGAAAAAGAAACCTTTGGGTATATCTAAAAATAGGTGCCAAGTTGACATTTAAGAGAATAAGAGCAACTCAGTTAATTGGTTATATGTAGCTGCTTTTTCTAGCCAATCAATTGAGATATCAGTTGAATAGGTCTGTATAAGATCTTCATTTAGAGCCTATTGATAAGCCTTTTTGACATGCCAGCTCCTCACAGTGAAACCATGAGAACTCCAATAGAAATCTTGGAAATACTGTTGATTTACTACAAGTAGTTTTATTTGCCAGACCAACTTTCTGTGATCTATGTCTATATCTACAAAGCAGTGTCTGTGATAATGTTAACTGTCAACTTGAAACAGCTTAGAGTCATCTGAGGGAATCTCAATTGAAGGAATGCCCAGATCAGACTGGTGTGTAGCCCGGTCTGTGGGGGATTGTCTTGACTGATGTGGAAGGCCCCAGCTCACAGTAAGCAGTAATAACTCTAGGCAGGTAGACCTGAACTGTATAAGAAAGCTAACTTAGTATCAACCAGGGAGCCAATCAGAGCCAACCAGCCAACAGAACTCCTCTGTGGTTTCTGACTCAAGCTCCTAACTTGACTTCATTCATTCCCATAATTGCTTCAATTGTGGACTGTAACCTGAAAGTATAAGTCCAAAAAACTCTCTCATCCTCATCTTGCCTTTGGTAAGTATCTTATCCCAGCAACAGAAAGGCAACTGGAATATATGATTTTTCTGCTTTGTCAACTGTCTTATGCCAAATAGATTTGTTTAGAATACTGAATTCCTTGGGTCCCTATCCTGAGAAAAGTAGGGCTTCAGTAGCAAGCTCTCTCTAGCATAACTCCAAGCAGAAAAAGGGTATGTAAACAAGCTTTGTTCTTAAGTTGAGAGGCTGACTACCAAGGGAGGTGGCAGAGAAACACAAAGGACATCAAGAAAGGGGCTGGAAAGCCTTTAGGCAATAGTCAGGATACTTAGGGTTATTTCTTGCTCTACTTACTGCACAAAATACTTCAATGAGTTACTTAAACTCCTTAAAACTCAATTCTACAGTATCCCCCAAAGGGATACTCTCTTTTGGTTTTGTTTTTTAATTATTTTATGTATTTATATTTCAAATGTTGTCTCCTTTAAAGGTTGCTCCTCCATGAGCTCCCCCAGCCCATATTCCTGGCCCCTCCTGGGGCTGATCATCCCATCTCCCTGCCCTGCCATGCCTCTAAAAGGGTGCTCCCCAACTCACCATCTACCTGCATCTCACTTCCACAAGCATCCCTCTTCCCTGGGACATCCAGTTTCTACAGGATTAAGCTCTTCCTGGGAGCTTAGACAAGGCAGTTCTCTTCTAAGCATGTGCCTAAGGGGATAGACTGGCCTGTGTAAGCTCATTGGTCAGTGGCCTAGTCTCCAAGAGCTCCTAGGGGTTCAAGTTTGTTGATACTGTTTGTCTTTCTATGAGGTTGCCATCCCCTTCAGTTCCTTCAATCCTTCTCCTAACTCTTCCATAGGTGTCCTAATGCTTGGATGTGAGTACCAGCATCTATCTCAATCCGCTGCTGTTAGAGTCTCTCAGAGGATACCCATGCTAGACTCCTGTCTGCAAGCATAATACAGCATCAGTAATAGTGTCAGGGTGTGCACACATGGAGTCTGTCACTGGGTGGCCTTTCTTTCAGTCTCTGCTCCATTTTTGTCCCTCCATTTCCTTTAGAATAATTTTGGATCAAAAATTTTGAAGGTGGGTAGGTGGTCCCCTGCCTCAACTGGAGGCCATGTCTATCTACTGGAGGTGGTCTCTTCAGTTTCTATCTCCCCACTGTCGGGCATTTTGGCTAATGTCATCATCCTTGAGACCTTGTAGCCTCTCCTATCCCCAGTCTCTGAGATTTTCTAGATGTTCCCCTGTCCCCCACCCAGTATTGCTGCATATTTAGAATCTCTCTCCTGGCCCTCTGGGTCTCTCTCCTGTAAAAGATACTTTACTGAAGCTCAAAACAAACATTAATCCTCACACAATTTTTTTCAGTTTTTAAATATAAAATTAATAGATTATTCTTCACAAAGTTGTTAGGATTAATAAATTACACCCATTTGTTAAATACTTAAAACAATGTTAGTCATTCAGAAAAGAAGGTAGGATGAATGATTTAAATGTAGCAGACACCAAAGGTCTTTAATATATTATTTGTTTAATTCTACAGAGTCATTAACATTGCATAGCCTCCTTGATTCATGTTAGAGGGTTTAAGCATGTGCCCCCTCTAGTCCTTAACTATTCTTCTTCTGGAAGATTTATGAGATGCTAGTTCAAAACTTCAGGTGATTCACCATGAAGCCAAGATTGTTTTATTTCTGTCCTGACCCTGTGTCCTGGTTTAGTCAGTTGCTCTGTACTCAAGTCCTAGCACTGTATTCTTGTTCTGGAATGTTACTCTCTGTGTCTAAGTACTGACTTGCAGAACCTGAATGGGACCTTCAGTTCTGTGGGGTATGTATTTCTAAAATGGCAGCCCATGGATGAGACACTCTATATTTGGAATTTGTTGTTTGAACTTTGGAAAGTATTATTCGTTGTCTGCACTAATTGTAAATGTTTATGTAAAGATGTGTGTTTTCAATCTCCTTTGAAACATTACATGGTTTGTCAAAATGGCCTCAAGTAGCAGCTGTCCCCTTTAAATCCATGTGATTTGTATTTTTCAAAGTTCTCTGCTTTGTCGGTGTCTAGGATTTGGTTGGTGCCTCTGAGAACATCTGGTGAGGGCAAGTACCTACCTTGTGCAAATATAAAAACTTCACATGCTTTACTCACATGACGGCCAGGAATCTGTTGTCATGGATCCCACTGACCCTTCTACCTGCTCCATGTCATCTCTCTGCAGGAATATGTGGTTGACAAGTGGTCCCTCGTCACTATCAAGCATCTCAAAACACTCATAGACATCCATAATGGCAGTCATACTCCCACAACTTAAATTGTCAGTCTCTAGAGCTACAGTCTATCCTCAAATTTTTGGCCACCATAATGATTATGTTCAGTGTCCCAGGCTGATAGTGGACCCCATCATGTTATTTCATCCTCAGTGGCCCTTAGTATTTCATAGTCCACATATTCACAAATTTGCATATTTTATCACATGGAAAATTAATCTGTAAAAATTTCCCTCTAGTTCTTATTAGGAGCCCCAAAGAGTCTATCAAACATTTATTTATCAACTAGGTTCCAGGCTATGCAATAGACTTTCACTTAAATGTTTGTTTAGTCAGAAACACAATGATATTTGCCATGTCTATCACTAACACTCTTTCCAGGAAACCACGTAGCACACAAGCAATATTTTAACACACTTGCCTATGTTTTTTTTCCCTCTCTCTCATGAATGGCCATTATACAAAATATAAACAAAAGAGTCCATGACTAAGCCAAGATTCAGGAAAGAACAAAATAAAATTCACAAAACCAATCATCCATATCATTTTATCAGATTATCCCAATTGAAGAGAACTAATTACACAGTAGCTGTTAAATTCTGCTAATTGCGAACCACCAGACTTTTAAAACGAAGTCTTAATAAAAATGTTACTTACATAAGGAATAGTGTCCAAAGTGTCTGTGTTGACAATTATAGGAGCAGGGCTAGCCTAAAGAAAAGAAACAGAAATAAAAAGATAAATAACCAATAATCTCTTGAGAGACCAATTCTGTTACTGTATTTAACAAAGATCACCGCAAGCATTTCCTGAGGTCTGGTACCTGCACTGAGTGGATGTTGGATACTGTAAAAAGAAGGTTGAGTTTTCACACTTCCCTTTTACTTGAAGTACCTCTTCCCAATGCTTAAAGTAAACTAAATTAGACATCCATATAAATCACATCAATTTTCTCTTAAAATTTAAACAAACTTAGGGTTTGTGCTGCCTAAGAGGTAGGGATTTCTGTTAACTTGAATTGGAGTTTAAATGTGTGCCATTTCTTTATAAAATGAGTTTGCTGAAGAAATTTTATTTTTCTCTTAAGTAAGCACAATAAAATCTTGACTAATATTCAAGCCAGTGTGCAACAGTATGTTTACCTGATGAAATAAATGTTAACTTACAAATATTTATCTAGTACATATGTTACATCATCCTTTTAAAGTTATGTATCTATGATCATGAACATTAGACAAAATTTAAAAAAAAAACAGAGATGACAGAAAATCATATTTGATATGGTAAGCTTCCATTTCTAAAAACAATTTGTATAGCTTCCAGTAATTTCCTTTAAAGTTGAATAGGAACCCGGAGACGACTGATACAGGCATGCTACAGCATAGGCCTTAGAAAATAAGAGATGGTAATCTATTTGCATCACCAATCTGACCTCATGAATATTGAGTAGCTCTAATTTTATTTTCAAGTTTCTAGAACTTTCACATCAACCTTTCCTTCATTCCCCAAAGAATCTTTAATCTCCATCCCAAATTACAAATTTCATTTAGATAGGGGGAAAGACTCTCATCATGATTAACCGAGAGCTGTCCTATGCAGTGCAGTGTCTGGGCAAGAGCTCAACATTTGGGACATTTCATTAGCTGTGCCCTCTGGAGTTAACAGAGTTAACAGCTCAGTAATGTCAGTCTGTGTGAATGGAATCCTAATCAAAAGAATCAGAGCATTCCAATAGGTTTTAGGTGGCAAAACTTTGTTTCTTAACTCAAAAGACCAGGAATAACAAACATAAACTTAATGTCCATATTTATATAGCAGGTCAACCTGATACTCATAGTATGTTATTAATTATCATAAGTACCTGGTAAGTGATAGAGAAATTGGAGAAAGGTAGATTACACATACCCAAACTTAAAAATATTGTCTCTAAAGGGAATTTTGGAATGGGGAATAGCTTTTGAGTCAGAAGACATAGGCTCAAAGTTGGTACAGCAACTTATCAATCAAATACTTTGAGGACTAGACAACTTCTTGGTATTATAACCCTGTAATAAGACACCCTGTCTCATTTACCTCTAGGGAGTAGAAATAACAGTGACCATGTTTTTAAAAAATGTTAAATATCAAAGGAGGATATGCATTTGAGTGTGTCTTAGAAACTACATTTCAGGAGCAATGCTAAGTATTTCTAAATGTTCCTAATAATAGACTACTATCAATATAGACATTCACACATGTATGATGGTTGGTGATCTATTTAGACTTCAGAGATCTCAGTGCTATGCTAGTTTGTAGTAATAATATTGTCATTGTTTCTTAAACACACACACACAAACACACACAGACACACAGACACACAGAGACACAGACACCACAGACACACAGACACACACACACACATATATAATATATATTATATAACATATATATATATATATATATATATATATATATATATATATATATATAATGAGTGTATGTGATATAGACCATACATTCTCATTTAATTACCAGAAAGCTATACTGCTATCACTACAGTCATGTAAAGATGAAAAAATTCAAGTTCAGGAAGAATGATGAAAACTGAAATGTAAATATTGTTTTTTAGGTGTATCAAATTTCACAGTTTTCATTCTAAGCAGCTACACAATCCCATTATCTTGGATCTATCAGCCTATCTGTCTGTCTGTCTGTCTATCTATCTATCTATCTATCTATCTCTTATTTCTCTATTATCTACTATTTACCCTCTATCTAACTTTCATCTATTTGTCTATCTGTCCACTCATGTCTATATTATATTGTAGTTCTCATTTAATGACTCTATCCTTTTGAATTTTGTCCCTGAAGAGTCATAAAGGAGCCTATATATCTTATCTTTAAATCAATTAAAAACTGTCTTTATATTACAGTTGGTCTTCATTATCAAGCATAGCATTGATCACTAAATTTAGTTGAATTGGTCTTAAACTTTATTTTTTCTTATAGGCTATATTTTATGTTACATGAATAAATTTAAGAGCCCATTTCCTATGCAGTGCTATCTATAACTTTCTGTTGGTGTATTTTCCTTTTTCCATATGTAAATTTTGTCTTTGCAACAAGATTCTATATTTTAAAATTAGCACAGATTATATATTTCTCTAGAATTCTCCATTTGAATTGTATATACAGAAGAAAAGAAGAATTTTATTATGGTTATTATTGTGTAATGCTAAGTATCAAAACCATGACTTTGTCCATAGACATGTTCTCTACCTTTAGGCTAGATCCTCAGCCCTTCTTAGGAATTACTGACTAAATGTAACTATAAAGTACAGATGAGGGCTCAACGAAACATTATATATCTTTATAAACTTGATCAAACATTTGCAAAGTACATATATACCCCTATGTATATATCTTAATTACTTATATATAATTTATTCATTTTGGCTTCTGTTTTCCTGTTGACTTTTGCAAACGTCAGAACTCAGGCCTAGATGAATCTGCTTCGGTTTCTGAGTTTTAGAAATAGGTTATCTTATTGCTTTGGTGGTTCTCTCTAAGTTTCTTCTCCATACTGCTCCATATATACACCCTGGTTTCATAGTAGATATCGTTAATTGAACCCATCATCAAAGTGGTGACTGAAACTCCAGCCTCCCTTTTCCATATGTTTATTTCCATTCACTGCAAAGAGACTCAGAGCAAATCTGGAGAGAGAAAATTAATTTCCTTTTCCTCAGAGGCTTTAAGGCTGGTGTTTATGTAAATCCAGGCAGGCATTTGAATCTTTAAAGGATTAGGAAATGCAACCTTTCCTGGGTGACCCAAACAGTGAAGGGCAAGTGTTTTCTCTTTACCTCCCATTCTCTTCCATTGGAGGAAACCAAGTGAAGCTAATCACGGAAAAACAAGAAGCAGATGGAGAGAGAAGTACTTGTGAATTATGAGATGATGTTATTCTTTCTTCCCAGCTTCTTTCTGCCTTTGTGTTTCACAACCTACCCAAGTATTCTGAGATTATTGTGGCTACTTCACTTTTGTTAGCAAAGCATAATCTTCTGGATATGCCATTAAGGGAATCACATTAATAAGGAAGCCAACACACTGAAGGCACATTGAAGAGTTCACAATTGCCTTAGCGTTTTTATTGTTGTGATAAAACATCATGATCAAGGAAACTTGGGGAGGAAAGGGTTTATGTTGCTTACACTTCTATATCCTTGTTTATCATTACAGGAACTCCAACAGGACAGAAACCTGGAAGCAAGAGCTGATGAGGAGGGCATAGATGAATGTTGCTTAATGGCTTGCTCCTTGTGGCTTATTCAGCATGCTTTATACAAACCAAGACCACTAACCTGGGATAGCCCCACCCACATCAATCACTAATTAAGAAAATGCCTTAAGTGCTTTCCTACAGCCCATTGTAAAAAGGCATTTTCTCAGTTGAGGATCTCATTTATCTCCATTGACCCTAGTTTGTGTGAGGTTGACATAAAACCTAGCTAGCCCAAAGATGCTCACCCTTGATGCTGCACATTTATTTCTGGATGTTGCCAACTGCCAGTTCTGTGAAATATTTCTGATGAAAGTAAACAGGTTGTTTACACTACCCACAGAGAAAAAGTCTCCTCGAATAAGGTTTTAGTAGGATGTACAGTGTCTGGATACCACAGGCATGTACTGGGGAACTCATGCCTGGAAGTACAGGGTTGATAAGGTCAAAGACTGAATCCAGGTCCATTTCAAAAATTTTAGAAGCAACACAGGAAACAGAAGAGCCAACTAGTCCATAAACCAGATTCCATGAGATAACAGAAAAGCTTTCAGTGTGAGAAACTGTACAATGTTGAAAGAAATGTACAACCGAGCCAGAGCATGAAAATTGAAAGCAAGTGTCACCAATGGATCAATTTACGAAGGAGACAAAATATGACAGGAGGAGATGAGCAGATGTTAGGGCTTGGTATCTTGATTGTCTTCTCAGTATTTCAGGATGAGACTTCTGAATGAGCACTGAAAAGGTTCTGGTCCCTAACAATGATCTTAGGAGCGAAAGAGATGGGGCAGTGGGGTGGGGGTGTTGAAAATTTCCCTGGAAACTATAAACCTCTGAACCATAAGTTAATTAACATCTGGGTTTCACTGGCTCTTGCTAGATACCATTAGCCAACCTTTTGATTCACAATCCATGGAGAAGCTCCATGCAGGGTGAATTCCAGTTGAATTATAGTATGATCCCAGAAGAGAAAGTAGCATGTTTGGGATTATCACATACATTTTTTCAGGTCTGAAATAATTCCACTTTATTGAGGACTGGGTTGGATATGCCAAGGTCCCTGCGTTTGGTGTTAGCCTTTTGCTCACTCCTTCTATTACTAAACTGGCCCTGTATGAAAACAAGAATGGTATAAAAGAGAAATCATTTCTCTTTTCCCCAAATTGTATTCTTATTTTCCTTTGAAATGAAAACTTTTGTATCGTTCTCCTTGTTTCAGTCAGTTTGCTGTTCTGGGGCCACACATCCCTGGATCTTCTCAGGTTTCTAATCTCAGATGAATGAATTACTTTGAAAACTACAAGTATGTTCAGGGTAGGAACCAAAATCATTTGAAGACTTCCAATATCACCACTTAGTAGTACCTAGCTTCCTGCTTTAAGGGTGGGGTGGCTACCCATTACACATGCACTAGTTTGACACATACTTCATATGAATTAGCTTA